TTCTTTTCTTTCCCAAAAAACACTTTTTTAGTAAGGGGAATACCATGAGGTTGCTCTAGCCCGGCCCCTGCAGAGGAGAGAAAAAGGGAACGAGTTAATAAACCAGGGGGAAGAGAGAGGAGAAGAGAAAATACAACCGAAGAACCCAGGAGTCCTGGCTGCCAGCCCTCCCCCCAGCTCTAACCACTAGTCCCCACTCCCCGCCCAGAGCCAGAGAGAGAACCCAGGAGTCCTGGCTCCCAGCCCCTCCTGCCCTAACCACTAGCCCCCACACACACCCCAGAGCTGGGGAGAGAACCCAGGAGACCTGGCTCCCAGCCCTCCCCCTCCCCCCAGCCCGCACTCCCCTCCCAGAGCCGGGAGAGAACCCAGGCGTCCTGTCCGCAGCGGCCCAGCCCCCCAGACCTGTATGAGCGTCCGCGGGGTCGGCTGCTGAATCCACTGTAGAACCGGGCCCGGGAGCTGGTGTAGCCAGAACCGCGCCCTCGGAACCGGGCCCGGGGAAAGCCCCGGTCTGTGGTGCTGATGCCGGGCCGGTTGGTCCGCTTGGGTATCACCTGGAGGGTAAAGGGGGGGGTCAGAGAGGCCCCCGCAAGGTGCAGCGAGGACCAGGGAGGACCTTGCGGGGCAGGGGAGAGAAATGAGGGTCAGGCCCAGGCTAAAGAAGGGACGGTGGGCTTGGGGGTTCAAGGCAACGGGTGGAGCTCCTGGGGGCAGGAGAGAGCCTAGGGTTCCGGGCAGGATCTGGGCCCAATCTCGGGATTCGGGGGGCTGGGTTTTGAGGTGCAGGGCTCACCTTGATCTGTCGCCCCCTGAACAGGGATTCGTCTAGCGCCATGGAGGTGCGCACAGACTCCTTGTCGGAGAACTCAATGTAGGCGAACCTGGGGGGGATCCCACATTAGACACTGCAAAAAACACAGCCTCCCCGGGCCGTAGCTTCTCCTCCAGACCCTCCTCCTGCCCACCCCATGCCCCCCACGAGCCCCCCGAAATCTCACTCACCCCTTGGGGTGCCCACTGTATTTATCACACAGGATGGTGACACGGTTGACGGACCCGCAGCCGTGGAAATGAGCCTCCAACTCTTCGGCCGTTGCCCCGTAATCCACCTAGAAAAGAGGAGGTCAGGAGGCTGAGAAATGGGGTCCCCTGAACCCCCCCAGCCCCTCCATGGCTCCCCCACTTACATTACCCACGTATATGGACCGAGCGTCTGCCTCCATCTTTTCTTCTAAGGACATTATGACTGGGCCAGCTGTGAAGAGAGAACCAGGGGCTTAGTAAGTGGGGGCTGTACCCCAAATCTCTTCCAGTGCACCCCCCCTTTACCAGAACAGAGAGGGGAAGAGCCCCTTTCTGCACTGGGTTTATACAGCATCTGGCATAACTAGTATGGATAGATGTATAAACAAGCCTACACAAACAACCCAAGGGGTAGTTTTTATGTAGGACCTACCTAAGAGATTCAGAACAGGATGAGTGAGGCCGGTGTTTACATAGGTCCTACGCAAACCAGATGATAGCATTTATGTAGGTGCTACACAAATAAAAATCAGAGAAGCACAATTCTCATGTGTCTCTGGACTTTGCCATCCCCACGGGGGTCTGAGAGTGAATGGGGATGGTGGTTATTGTTTTCATAGGTCCTACACATACAAAAAAGTAGCATTTACACAGACTCTATACAAATAAAATGCAAAGCGGGGTGAATCCCAAATGCCTCCTACTTCACTCCTCCCCCGCCCCGCAGTCAACAGGGTCCAAGGGGGAAAGTGATGATTACTGTGTACATAGGTGTTACACAAATAAGATGGTGGCATTTATGTAGGTCCTACACAAATAAAATTCAGAGGGGCACAATTTGCATGCGTCTCTAGGCTTTACAATTGCCAAGGGAGTCTGAGTTTCAATGGGGGGAGGAAGGCTTACAGTTTACATAGGTCCTACACAAATACAATTCAGAACAGCGAGACTCCCAAATGCATCTGGAATCCACCATCACCCACATGGTCCAAAGGGTATATTTGGGGGAAGGGATAGTTCCTGTTTACGTAGGTCCTGCACAAACACAATCCAGGGCAGTGTAGTTCACAGATGTCCCCTAACTTTGCCATGCACAGGGGGCCCAAAGGAGATGACGGGGGGCCCGAGGGGGTCTCACCGTTGCCCGGCGGGGGGCTCATGTTCATCTGCTTCTCCACCTCGTTCTGCAGCTCCTTCAGCTTCTCTGCCTCCTCTTCCATCTCCCGCACGCGGGCTTTGATGGCCTCCAGCTCCTGAGAGGCAGGGGGG